CGTAGCCCACCATTGAACAGGCAGTCCTGTTGTTAGGAGCACGCACTCTCACCAGCTGAGCCATCCTGCCACCTGTTGGCAGCTCAGCGGCAGCTCAGCTCAGGCGCAGAGTCACTGGCTCATGTGGGAATCGAACCAGCGGCCCTGTTGCTCAGAGGCTTGTACTCTTAAGCTAACTCTTAACCAACTGAGCCACTCGGCCAGCCCTCAAAGAGAACATTCTTGACCACCATATTTAAAATTGTAAGCCCCAGCAGCCTATATCCCTCTACTGTATTTTATTTTCTCTGTAGCACTTATACCATCAGATATTTTGCATATTTTCTGTTTTGTTTTTTTTGTTTCTCCCCAAGTATGTCAACTCGACGAAGGCAAGTCTTTTAGCCTGTTTTGTTCATTACTATACGAGTACTTCCATTGCCTAGGACCGTGCCTGGCACCCAGTAGTCATTCAGTAAATACTTGTGGAATTGAATGAGTGAACATTCCACAGACAAAACAGGAAGATGGAGAGCCTTAGAGGTTAGAGGTATGCTGATGTCTCAGTGAGAGGTCACGGGGTCCACACTCCACATGCCATGTGGAGGACTGCCTCGCTTCAACAGAATGAGTATAGGTCAGGATGGAGAGTGTCTAGACTATATATATCAAATCTGTAACCACATGTTAGTAAGAAGAACTGGAAAAATTTCACAATCAGACTGGGAAAACTTCTACGGAAAATGGTCTACAGAGGGGATGGTAAAGTGAGGTTTTGAAGCTCAGAGGGAAGAGTACTTTTTGGTTACATATTGACCATGTCTTGGGCCTCAATTGCACTCTAAGTTGCTCCTAGAGATTTCATGGTTGATGAAGCCCATTAGAGCCGAGGATAAAAATGTGGCCGTGGTTACTCTGAAGATCAACACAAACCCATGGGGGCTTGGATCTGGGATGTGCAACTGTTATGGGTGGGATTGTGTCCCCCCCATAAGAGAGGTTGAAGTCCTAACCTCCAGTACCTCAGAAAGCGACCTTATTTGAAAACGGGGTTAATAAAGAAGTAATTAGTTAAGATGAGGTCATACTGGGGTAGGGATGGGTCTTAATCCGATATGACTGGTGTTCTTGTAAGAAGAGATGCACACACGTGTGGATACCATGGGACAATGGAGGCAGAGGTTGGAGTGATGCATCTATAAGCCAAGGAGTGCCAGGGATCGAGGGCAACCCCCAGAAACTGGAAGAGGCCAGNCCTGAAGCTGCGCTCATCAAAGCCACCGACGCTATCTTTTTCACCAAATCACTGGAACATTCTGTGTCCTGACCTGACTTGGCCTTTGGCAGCCCGTTGACACTGCTGACCTCTCCCTTCATCTGGTTTTTCTACTTCCCCTCCGTGGGCTCTTTTCTCTCTATCCCTTAAGTTTCCCTAAGTTCTTCTCTCTTTGTTTATCCACTCTCCCTAGGAAATGCCATTGGCTCCTATGGCTTCAATTACTATTTTATGATAAAGACTCCAAAACCGTATCTTCAGCCCAAGCTTCCTTTTGGCCTTGACACCAGTAGATTCAGCTGCCAACTTGAAGTCTCCACCTGGATGATGTCCTGTGGGACATCCCACCCCCTGTAAGGTCTCAATCTCAGTGACTAGTAACCCTCTTTTAACTCCTTTCTCTTCTACTTCAAAATCACTCAATCCTTCAGTTTGTAACTTTTTACTATTTCTTGAATCTGGATTTTTCTATTTCCACTACTACTATCTTAGTGCAGGCCTCATCATCTTGCACCTGGATTAAGAACAACAGCCAATAATTACTGAGGGTTTGCTATGCACTGAGCACGTTCCATGCCTCCCCTTCTTCAATCCTCACAACAACCTTCTGATGTGGCGCTCTCATCCCCATTTTGCAGATGAAGAGACTGAGACCAGAGAGGAACACTGTGACCATCTCCTGGCAGGTCCCCAGCCT